AAGGGATTATAACAAGCTTTCCGCATAAAGCAAGAGTATAGAGGGGAAGCGAATCGGCCGGCGGGGAGCGGGACTGAGCCACACCGGGTAACTCCAGCTAGTAATGAATAATGGGCAGAGTCAGTGAGTCTGAATCCAAAGCATTCTACTGCCCCAACGGAGGTCACATGTTTGTATAATTTTGGGTGGTGAGAGCAGGTCCAAGTCCCGCCCCTCCCCTGCCTCGTAAGGGCGTGAGGGGGTGAGAACTCTGGTGCTGGGGATTAAGGGTTTGGGTGTGGGAGGGGTTCGGGGCTTGGGAAAAGGGTTGGGTGCAGGCTCTAGGGGGCAGATGAGGGGTTTGGGGTGCAGGAGGGTTTTAGGGCTGGGGTTGTGGTCCCAGGGTGCAAGTTGTAGGGTGCAAATGAGAGGTTTGGGGCCTGGGCTGGGCTCAGGACTCGGGGGGGCAGAGGGTTGGGTGCAGGCTGTAGGGTGCAGATAAGGGGCTTTGGTGTGGGCGGAGCTGGGGTCAGGACCCCCATTCACCCCTTCTCTCCTCTCCTCCCCCCACTCCTGGCACCACAAACACTCACCCAAGCCCCAGGCAGGAAGGTCTCCACTCAGAGCTGCCTGAGGTGTGTGGGGAGGGAGGTGGAGGGAAGGGGATGCCAGGTGCCTCCTCCCTCGGCAGGCGCAGTCAGCCTGCTGCCAGGGGTGCGCCCTTTAGCCAGGTTGCAGCACAGCGGCCAGCAAGGGAGAGCATCAGCACAGAGCTGCGCTCACATCAGGCAGCCGGCCGGGACACTCAGGGCACAGGGGACAGCAGTGAAGAGACCCGGCCCAACGTTGGTGGAGCCGGGCTCCCAGGCCCCGACATGGGTGGAGCCCGGGCACCACAGGCCTATCCACACGCCCATGAACCTCGCCAAAGGTCAAAACCAACAGAGCCCAGGCCCAGTGCATCTTGGTAATTCCCGCTGGTTTCCCTGCCCTGCCACTTCCAAGAACTTAAGGCGGAGCATGTACAAAAATATAATTTCAGGGGATCAGGGATAGCATGACTCTGCCCGCATTGCACGCTAATATCTCTTTGCTTTATGGGTCATGGGTCAAATGTGCTTTAGCTGTTAACAAAAGGCCCCGGGGAAAACAAAGAGCATTTCTTTTCATTTTCCTGGGGCTCGTCTGCCTTGTGCAGCCACTGGGAAAAAGACACACACACAAATTGGGGATTGTTTTTTACATGCACGCCCCAGGTATGATGAGGCTGGGAAACCGTGGCAAAGGGGCAAAGGGCCGACAGACCTGTCCAGATGCTGGATTTAGTGATACGCAGGGCTCGACGATCGCGGCGAAAACCACTCGCCAGCCCCGCACTGCGCATGCGCGAACCGCCGGTGAACGGGGCGACCGGCTGAAATCTACTCGCCGCGGGAGAGGAGATAAGCGGATTTGTCGAGCCCTGGTGATACGGACACGGATCCCATTGATCTCCAGGGAGTTACCGGTGTAACTGAAATGCCTCATTTCTCATGTTATACAGCGAAAGCCTCGTCCGCCGCTGTTTTTCCCAACCAGTTCAGGAAGGCAACACACAGCAAGTGGCTGAGTCACCCGATAGCTTTCTCAACTGCCTGTTCACACACCTGGCAGCTCTGGCTTGGACACACCCTGGTGAGGTAGATAGCAAGGGAGGAGAATGACCTGGAGGGCTTTCTTGGGACTCAAGGTCTCCATCAGCACTGCCCTGGAATCCTACTTGCAGAGCAGATCTAGGGCCCAACCCACAAGGGGATGGCGTAGGTAAAGGCTTTGATGTCTGTTTCAACACAGCAGCTGCTTTGGTGCCAACAGCGACAGCTTATCTCGTCTTCCTGACGGACAGGTGGAGACTGACAGGAGAGAGAGCAGCACAGCCTGCATGACATTCCTCACAGGACATTAAGGGCAGGTCACCAGTGGCAAAGTTAAGCTTTGTTGTGATGCCTGAGCAAGTCCTCCCAAGATCAGACCCTCACCCACTCTCACAGATCCCTCCAAAGTGAGAGGAAAGCAGGCCGGAGGCAAAAATACCCCCTGTCCAGCTGGCACCGTCACAGTCACACTGGGCAGCTTTGCAGAAGGTCTGGGGACAAGATCTGGCTTCTTGCTCTATGGGCCACATGAAATCAGGTGGGGTCTGGAGAATGCTTCCACTGCACTTGAGCATCCTTATATCTCCTTGCCCTGCTCTCCTCAACACACAGAAAGGATCAGTGTCAAAGGAGGGTGCACTTTCAGGGGGAAATGAAATCAGGGCAAAGGGAGAATGAAGGGGACCAGGGAATTTTCTGAACCTGAGAAGCCAAGGGCCAGCCAAAACACCGGACTAAAAGCCCAGCTCTTCAGCAATGGAGGCCCTGTTGCCTAGCAGGCAAGAGTACTGGGAGCCAGGTGGGACGGGACATCAGATCATGCTGAGCCAGACTCACTCTGGGACCATGGAACGTCATTTCCTTGTACTTTGATTTAACCAGATGGAAAGATGGGGCGTCTCAATGGGGCGAAGGGCGTCTAACCGTGAATGGGTCAGTTTTATTCATTTGCCAAGACGCTGGTTACATTTTAAAGCTGAAACCCAAGGCTATGTCTGCACTAGCACTTTTGTCTCAGGGATGTGACAAACGCTCTGACTTTCTGTGTATATTCCCTGTGCCCAGGGGTTATTGGCGGGGTACATTTCTGCTTTCCTGGTGAACACTTTTCCCAGCTGGTCTCAGATTGCTGTTCTCTCTGCTCCTTCCACTGAGAGCCACTCATACAGGGCACATTTCTAGGAGCCCTTCCTTTATGTTTGATTCATTTCAAGGATCTTACTGCACTGGTAACACCTCTTATTTATCAGAATTCTCCCCTCCCTTTTAAAAGATTTTTTAAAAATAATTTCAGAGGTGCGTACTGCTTAGGGCTTATATCTCTCACTGTTCATTGGTCCTTCTCACGCTATGTTATTCCTGTTACTTCTAGAGCACAACAGGCATTTAGACAGAAAGAAAAGCCAACAACATCCCGTATAGTTCTTCTACACTGACCCGGGCACAGTCGGTACGTCCTTTGATTACATGTAAAACTTGTCTCTCGCCTCCTTCAGGATTTATATAAAATGAGACATAGAGACAAGGTTCCCCCATAAGGAAAAAGAGCAGGAGTGGCTTTCAATTCTCAAACCATTTCTCAATAAACGCTAGAATGGTTTTTTTTAACCTATCAAAGTCAGAATGGCCATATGGGTCATTCTTCAATTATAGGTGTTCTGAATCATCAAATCCAGCCTGTCCAAGGTCTAAGGTTTGAAGTCAGAGTCTAGAACATCAAACAGAAAATAAACTTTGTCCCACTCCCTATCATGTCCTAAATCTACTCAGGTTTGCCAGGCTTGGATTATCTTCAGGAGATGATTGGCAATGATTAATTCATTCCTTCTGGGCATGTTCCCAGTCATATCTGAGGAAAGATCTCAGCTTGTAAAATGTGCTACTTTCACTACTCCATCACTGCCTATCTACAGTAAGTTATGTCTTATAAGCACAAGTAGGGACATTGGAATAGCCATTTTGGATGAAACCGTAATTCCAGATGCTTCAAATAAAAGTCCGAAAACCTCCACAACATCACTGTGGAATAATCTCTCCAACAAGGAAATTTCTTCTCAATGTGACACAGTTAGTGGCTGATTTATCCTCTGGAGCATGTGGATTTATATCCATTATAAATGTTTATTTTGATCACTATTGGCATGGAAAATTTCATCTATATAAAAGTGTCCTGTGTTTGACTCTCACTAAGTTCTAGGTCTTCACAACATCTTGTAGCACCACATGTTTGACCAGCTAACTGCGCATACTTGTCAGGTTGAAATTTTCTGCCTTTTAATTTTTGGGTGTTTGGAGGCTGGGACCAACCTCCTGACAGCAAATTAGAGCTGATAGGTAGAGTGAGGACAGGCTGGGAAGGGCCCTGAAAGTGAAGACAAGTGTATGGTTGATGCTTTAGGAAAGACCGAACCCATGGAGAGACGCAAAGAGAGGGGTGACATGGTCCAAGCAATGGGTAGGACTACGGTCTTTGCAGCAGCATTTTCAAGGGAAATGAGCAAGGTTACTTCTAAACTGCGCAGCAGCACGGCCCCACAGCTGCTTAAAGAGCCCCGCCCACCCAGAGGCTCAGGGCTCCGTGCACGGAACTGCTTGGCTCGGAGAGAGACACGTCTTCCGCAGCGGCAGCAGCAGCTCCCTGCTGAGAACAGAACCCCGAGCCTCTCCCAGCTGGTAGAGGCATGTCCTCTCCCTACCAGCTGTGGGAAATTCATTGGCAACAGAAATGATGAGGGGGCTGGAGCACTTGACTTATAAGGAGAGGCTGAGGGATTGGAGTTTGTTTAGTCTGCAGAAGAGAAGAGTGAGGGGGGATTTGGTAGCAGCCTTCAACTTCCTGAAGGGGGGGTTCCAAAAAGGATGGAGAGAGGCTGTTCTCGGTGGTGGCAGACGGCAGAATGAAGCGCGATGGTCTCAAGTTTCAGTGGGGGAGGTCTAGGTTAGATATTAGGAAAAGATCTTTCCTAGGACGGTGGGGAAGCGCTGGGCTGGGTTCCCTAGGGAGGGGGTGGAATCTCTGTCCCTAGAGGTGTTTAAGTCCCAGCTTGACAAAGGGATTTCAAGTGTATCAGAGGTGGTAGGAAGTGAGAGAATGGGATAGAATCATAGACTCATAGACTTTAAGGTCAGAAGGGACCATTATGATCATCTAGGCTGACCCCCTGCACAGTGCAGGCCACAGAATCTCACCCACCCACTGCTACAATAATCCTCTCACCTATATCTCAGATATTGAAGTCCTCAAACGATGGTTTAAAGACCCCAAGATGCAGAGAATCCTCCCGCAAGTGCCCCGTGCCCCATGCTACAGAGGAAGGCGAAAAACCTCCAGGGCCTCTGCCAATCTACCCTGGAGGAAAATTCCTTCCCAACCCCAAATATGGCGACCAGCTAAACCCTGAGCATGTGGGATAGACTCCTGCCCTGTTGAAGTAGCACACAGCTCCCAGTAGTTGGGTGAAGGCAGGACCAGGTCCCAGAACTTGAGGGAAGCTGAGAAGGAAACACGCCTCATTTTGGGTTGAAATCAGCAATGGCTGACACAGTAACTTTCCTCTTGGTTACTCATTGCCTCTCGGAGCCCCATAAAACAGTGAGCAGTGCAGGAAGAATCCCTATTTCTGACTGGTGTACTGAGACACCCAGCGAGGAGCGAGGCCTTGAACCCAGTTTATGTCACTTGACACTGAACTACAATAAACACATCACAGCTCAGCCCTTGTAAACGAGGAGGGTTAAGTGCTGAGCATTGCTGAACAGGAAAAGCCTCTTCACAGATTCTCCCCAAGGTAAGCAGCGAGGAGAGCGATCCCAAGAGAAAGGACCTCTGACGGCAGTAACTTCCCATTGCTGGGAAAAAATGATTTCCGGGGAAGGGTCTAGAGATTGAGAGGGTCAGTCACTTTTATTTTAAGGTGATGTACAACCAACAGGGAATTAATACAACCTGACCCTCGGGGCCCAACCTGCCCATCAGCTGTGAAATGCCTTTCCGGGAGGGTTGTATTCAGAATGTGTGACAGCAATGTACAATTATCCCGTGCCGGCAATATTCATAGAATCAAGACTCTCTTTAGCCAACAGATCCCACCCGAGACCATCGGAAATGGTGCAGAAGAGCCGCCTGCCCGTCCTTTATGGAGCACCTGTCCTTGCGGTTCTACTTTTGCCATGTCTAGTCGCAGGTAAGAGCAAAGAAAAGCTGCCGGTGTCTGTCTCTATAGTGACAGAGATGCAGCCGTGTTAGTCTGGTCTCGCTGAAACAAAAGACAGGACTAGGCAGCACTTTAAAGACTACCAAGATGGTTTATTAGGTGATGAGCTTTTTTTCTGATTGTATCACTTTGGTGTTTATGGTTGTGCCAATTTTCTTCCACAAATTGATCTGAGGAAGTGGGTCTGGCCCACAAAAGCTCATCACCTAATAAGCCATCTTGTTAGTCTTTAAAGTGCTGCATCATCCTGTCTTTTGTTTCGGTGTATGTCTCTGGCTGTCTTAACATTGTGTGAAGCTCTGCTTGGCACCCACCACTGAGCAGGCAGCTGCAGACGCAGGGCTCCGTGTTTGCGTGAGCTTTGAGAACACGTACAGCTTAGGACGGGCATCACTTTGTCTGGTTTGGTAAATGTAAATAAATAAGGTTGTGCCTGAGCATTGGTGGATGCGGCGTTAGAAGCTGCTTTAGAAAAGGTCGTTATTAGATGTAAGCCTGACAACACCATTCTTAACCCATGCTCATGGGTCCGGGTGTGGTAAAAGCAGCCGGATAACGATAAGTATTGTCCTGGACTGTGCAAACGGCAGAGCTTGTGAAACCCACCACGTCTGCTTCCCTTCCAGGTGTGGAGCTGGCTATCAACAATCGTTCTGAGAGCCACAGTCTGCTCACAGAACCTGGCTATGAAGCGTCCCTGTGGTGCACTGTGCAAAACAACAGTGGGGCAGAGGAACTGCGCTGGTACCGAGACAACAAGACCGTGAGCATGACAGATGGAAATAAAATGAATCAAAGTAACATCTGCATCCTCCCAGTCGCCGAGTCCGACAACGGAGTCCGCTTTACCTGCAAGCTGGTGCGGAACGAATCCATGCAGCTCTCCGTGACTCTGGATGTCCGATGTGAGTTGATGAGCGGGGAGCGAGGGAGCATGCACAGTAACTGCGGCAGCGGGAGATCGGGGGGGGTTGGCCGACTCGCTGGCTGCTCACTGTGTTCTATGTTCTTTTGCCTTTTCTTTCCCAAGAAGAAGGGTTAGAGGAGGTTGTGAAGACCAGGATTTTAACAGGATTCAAAAAAGAACTAGAGAAATTCATCGAGGCCAGGTCCATCAATGGCTGTTAGCCAGGCTGGGCAGGGACGGTGTCGCTGGCCTCTGTTTGTCAGAGGCTGGGAATGGGCGACAGGGCAGGGATCACTGACTGATTCCCTGTTGTGATCCCTCCCCCTGGGGCATCTGGCATTGGCCACTGTCAGCAGAAGGATACTGGGCTGGATGGACCATCGGGCTGCCCCAGTCTGGCCGTTCTGATGTTCTTATGATGTTGGGTGTTTGCTAATGTGTTCAAAATACACCTTTTCCCTAGTGTAAACTAAACCTTCCATCCTGATCCAGCCTTCACTGAAATCAATGGGAGTCTCCCGGTTTTCCTCAGTGGGAGCTTAATGACGATGTAGATTTACTGTTGCCCCTCCACCTAGATTCCCGCTTGTAAAGTAAGGGGAACAAAGGAATCAGAGCCCGAAGACCCATCTCCTCCAGTATCCTCTCTGCTGCAGTGGCCATGGCGGGATGCTAGAGGAATATATAAAGTCCTCCTGATGCCCCTCAACTCCAGACACCCGTTGGTTAGTGGCCCATGCTCTGAATTAGGAGGAATGAGTAAGTGCCTTTGGCTAAGTCTCCAATGCAAAAAGAAAAAGCCGTGTCTGTTTTTAGAGGGATGAATTTGAAAAAAAATACAGAGAAGGGCAACAAAAATGATTAAAGGTCTAGAAATCATGACCTATGAGGGAAGACTGAAAGAACTGGGTTTGTTTAGACTGGAAAAGAGAAGACGGAGAGGGGACATAAGAACAGCCGTACTGGGTCAGACCAAAGGTCCATCTAGCCCAGTAGCCTGTCTGCCGACAGTTGCCAGCACCAGGTGCCCCAGACAGGGTGGACCGAAGACAATGATCAGCGATTTGTCTCCTGCCATCCCTCTCCAGCCTCTGACAGACAGAGGCCAGAGACACCAATTCTATCCCCTGGCTAACAGCCTTTTATGGATCTAACCTCCATGAAATTATCTAGCTTCTCTTTAAACTCTGTTATAGTCCTAGCCTTCACAGCCTCCTCTGGCAAGGAGTTCCACAGGTTGACTACACGCTGTGTGAAGAAGAACTTTCTTTTATTAGTTTTAAACCTGCTACCCATTAATTTCATTTGGTGTCCTCTAGTTCTTCTATTATGGGAACTAATGAATAACTTTTCTTTATTCGCCCCCTTCATAGCATTCATGCTTTTATAAACCTCTATCATATCCCCCCTCAGTCTCCTCTTTTCTAAACTGAAAAGTCCCAGTCATTTTAACCTCTCTTCATATGGGACCCGTTCCAAACCCCTGATCATTTTAGTTGCCCTTTTCTGAACCCTTTCCAAGGCCAAAATATCTTTTTTGAGGTGAGTGGGCGTACCAGAGTTTTATACAGGGGCAGTAAGACATGATAACAGCTTTCAAGTACCTAAAAAGTTGTGATAAGGAGGAGGGAGATAAATGTTTCTCCTTGACCTCTGATGACAGAACAAAAAGCAATGGGCTTAACTTGCAGCAAGGGAGATATAGGTTAGACATTAGGAAAAACTTCCTAACTGTCAGGGTGGTTCAGCACTAGAATAAATTGCTAAAGGAAGTTGTGGATTCCCCATCATTGGAGATATTTAAAAACAGGTTAGACAAACATCTATCAGGGATGATCTATTGTGCTTGGTCCTGCCGTGAGGGCAGGGGACTGGACTTGGTGTCCTCGCGAGGTCCCTTCCAGTCCTAGTGTGCTAGGATCCTATAAGTACTGTGTGTTTTTCATCCCACTGTCAAACCCTGGTAGAAACATGGCTCTTTAGCTTCTACCGAGATGTAGCTCAGAGCGTTCAGCCAGGGGGTGGATGATGTAGGACTGATCTCATCTAGCGACCTCATGGTAAAAGCTGCCTACCCCAGGGCTCCATTGGGATTCTCCAGCAAGGCGTAAAAGCCAAACTTTTGCTCAGTGAAAAAGCTGGAAGGCGGTGCCTGAAGCTCTGATGACGTAAAGACCGTCAGCTTTGCCTCCAGGGGGTCGCTCTCATGTGATCAATGTCGGCCCTCTTCTCTGTGGTCTCTGTTCTCTCCCAGCCCCCTTACCCCTGCTCTGGCTGTGACAGGTTCTGGCAGGACGTAGCAGTGTGGGACAACTCGTAACTACTCTACATTCTCACCCTACAATGCATCCCGTTTAGAGCTCTCGCTGTAACATTGGCACTGAGGACAGAGTGAAACCTCACCCCGGTGCAGCCCGCAGCAAAGGCTGCTAAAAGCTGCAGCCGTGGAACAGTTTGTAGATCAGTGCTTGGAAAAGTCGCCGCTATAAAATGATTATGAAACTAGCTAACTTACTCAGCAGCCCGGGTCGCTCAGGGTAGGGAGCTGGCAATGGGGGGGGAGGGAGGGGGCAGAACTCAGAGCAGGGCTTTGGGGGTGTCGGGGAGGGGAGGGGGTGCAAGAGGCTGGGGGCGTGTGAGTGAGGGTGAGGATTCGGGGATGAGGAGGGGCTCAGGGTGGAGCTGCCACCGGGGTCTTTCTTCTCCCCCCAGACATACCCCCGGCCACCAGGAGCCTTTTTTCTCCTCCCAGCCAACCAGCTGTCAGGGGCCTTCCCCCTCCCTTCCCCCTCCTCCGGCCGCCATCACTGTGGCCAAGGGCTGGGAGGAGGTGAAAGAGTTTGGGGCAAGGGGGCTACTTGCTGGCAGGCAAGATTATGTCTGGCAATTACTGTCCGTAACGTTGACTGCCCAGTTTGTTCAAACGGTGCAAGGAAGGGCTATGTGCATGGTAAATGCTTACAGGCAATGCCTTTCTCCTAGTACCTAGGGCTGTGTCTATACTGGCCAGTTTTTCCGGAAAATCAGCCACTTTTCCGGAAAAACTTGCCAGCTGTCTACACTGGCCACTTGAATTTCCTCAAAAGCACTGACTTCCTACTATAAGAAATCAGTGCTTCTTGCAGAAATACTATTCTGCTCCCATTCAGGCAAAAGTCCCTTTTGCGCAAAGCTTTTGCACGAAGGGCCAGTGTAGACAGCTCAGATTTGTTTTCCGCAAAAAAGCCCCAATCGCGAAAATGGCGATCGGGGCTATTTTGCGGAAAAGCGCCCGTGCAAATCTCGACGCTCTGTCCAAAAATGTTTTTAATGGAAAACTTTTCCGTTAAAAGCATTTCCGGAAAATCATGCCAGTCTAGACACAGCCTAGGTGTTGTGGTTCTGGTAATGCTGTCATTAACATAACTGCTTGTTGTCCACAGTTGCCCCTCGCCTGTCTGGGGAAGACCCTGCCCCAGCAGAAGAAAAGAGTGACGTGAGCCTGACTTGCAATGTGAATTCCAACCCTCAAGCTCACATGGTTTGGTATAAAGACAACAGCAGCCTGAGCCTGGAGAAAGGTCGCTACCAGATACACCAGACTAGCGAGGTCTTCCAGCTGACTATCAAGAAAGTACAGAAATCTGACAACGGAACATACACTTGTGAGGCTACCTCTGTTCTCGGAAGGGAGACGAAGGAGTTCCACCTGACAGTAACAGGTAATGCTCACGAGCGTGCAGCTAAGAGCACAGCAAGGGTAGCGCGGCTTGTGCACTGACTGGTTAATAACTACAATGTTAGAGCCACAGTAGATGCTTTTCTTGCTCCATCAGTTATTTAAAAGGATTTGGCGGCTGTATCTGAAGCGGCAGCTTCCCCTCTTCTGCTCTCCTGCAGCCAGTTGTGTGCGTTAGAACTTCCAACACATTCCAGTCCCCGCTTCAGTGGCATGCACGTTGGACAGCTTGAATCCCAGGAGTTATTAGTTGCCCCGAGCAAAACGTTATATTTATAAACGCTGCAAATCCCTGGGCCAGCAGAGGGTGCTGCGTCAGCTGGTGAGGCTCTGTATAGTCACAGAAACATGGATGCATTAGCGATATCAGGGCACTAGATGATATCTGCACTTCAGGGCAGGCTGTTCTATTACGTTTGCACAATGCCCAGCACAATTAGCCTGATCACGACGGGGATCTCTAGCACACCTGCACTGCAAACAACATACAATAACTTATTGTTCTCCCTCGATGGAATTCAGTAGAAATTAGCGGAGGAGTGGCTGAAAACAAGACGTTTTATTTGAATGAAGCAGGGCAATGACACGAGTGTGCTTTGAATAGCCGGTTGCAAACAGGGCCAGGCTAATTAAGCTGCACGGCTCACCTTTCAAGGAGATTTTCTTATTCCCATTTTACAGATCAGAAAATGGGGTCGAACAAGATGCAGGGTCTTGTTCAAACTCAAAATCAAAGCACAGAGCAGCAGCAAAGGCAAAAATCAGACTTGAGTCCAAAATCCGGGAGAAGTAACTTTGGCTTCTGTGCAGACTACTGGCCTCTCCCAAGAAGGCCGGTTGTTGTCTGCTTTCTGTCCTTATTTAAAAAACAATGTGAAGATTCTCTGCGTACTAACTGTTATTAAGTCTGTGTCAAAAGCAAGAGGCTAAGTCCCCTTTCGAAAGAAATCCCTAACTTCCTCCCCTCCTTTCACAGGGCTGTGGACACAAAAATAAGACAATACACGTGAACTGTATCAAGTTACAGAACGCAAAAGTGCCACAGCAGGGATCTGCTGCATGTTTTCCTAATAATCCGCAACCCCTCCTACGGCTGCCGTTTCCCACCCCTCAATCTAAGAAATAAATGGTTTGCTGGCTGCAGGGCTGCCCATAAGGCATTCTCCCCTGTCCCTAGAACATGGGTTCCCAAACTAGGGGGGTGTGCCGAAACTCCAGGAGGGGTGCGAGGCAACTCAGCCTCCCCCGTCAATCCCTCCCCCCAAGTTTTGCTGCTATTTTTGTTTTTTGGCCCCGGTCAGGGGGGGGGGGGGGGTTCTTTAAATATCAAAAAGAGGGCGTGATGCCAAAAAGTTTGGAAACCACTGCCCTAGAACCATTGTGAAACCAGCGGTGTCAGAAAACATGCTGCATGGTTGCTTATCCTTACTCCGTGTCCATGGCCTGATGGCTTAGAATCATAGAATACTAAGACTGGAAGGGACCTCGAGAGGTCATCGAGTCCAGTCCCCTTCCCTCATGGCAAGACCAAATACTGTCTAGACCATCCCTGATAGACATTTATCTAACCTACTCTTCAATATCTCCAGAGACGGGGATTCCACAACCTCCCTGGGCAATTTATTCCAGTGTTTAACCACCCTGACAGTTAGGAACTTTTTCCTAATGTCCAACCTAAACCTCCCTTGCTGCAGTTTCTTGTTCTATCCTCAGAGGCCAAGATGAACAAGTTTTCTCCCTCCTCCTTATGACACCCTTTTAGACACCTGAAAACGGCTCTCCTGTCCCCCCTCAAGTCTTCCCTTTTCTAAACTAAACAAACCCAATTCCTTCAGCCTTCCCTCATAGGTCATGTTCTCTAGACCTTTCATCATTCTTGTTGCTCTTCTCTGGACCCTCTCCAATTTCTCCACATCTTTCTTGAAATGCGGCGCCCAGAACTGGACACAA